AGAGAGAGACAGAGAGAGAGAGAGAGAGAGAGAGAGAGAGAGAGAGAGAGAGAGAGAGACTGTTGAGAAAAAAGGGCCACAGGTTTCAAGAAAAATTGGGGCAAACACATTATCTGGTGCAAGTTAAAAATAGCCTGATGAGTTTAATATGCAAATGAAGGGAGCCTGGATGGGAAGAATACAACCGAAGACACCATTAAAAAAAACAAATGGTTAAAACCACGTTGGGTTTACAGAAAAGGCCGTGCTGAAAAGCTAATGAGCCGAGAAGGAAGCTAAGCTGCCTTGGGGCTTGTTGCTGAGTGCCAATGAGTCGGGCCATGGTGCAGGGAAAGCAAGCACACACATTGGACCCCTCCCTCCTGTGGGCACCTTGCCCTGCCCTGCGGACCCTGTGCAGTGTCTGACCCATGGCCCCCGGCAAGCACAGCAGGCCGTGGACAGCTCCGGGGAGAGGAACCGGAGACCAGGGCAGAGCTGAGGAATGAGGCGACCTCTCCCAGGGCGCTGGGCCTGCCCTCTCCCACACCCTGCCTCGCTCGCCCTGTGCCCTCTGCCAATTCCCACAGGAACGCGAAAGCCCGGTCCGTTCCCGCCCCAGCTGCTGCCAGTCACAGGAGGAGGAGCGGAGTGACCATCACACCCAGCCCTCCAGGGACCACGGGACAAAGACACGGCCCTCCAGCCTCTTCCCACCACCCGAACGTGGGCATCCGGGAACACAGGCTTGTAAGGAGGGAGGACATGTTAGAGGAAAGTAGTGTCAGGAACCCTAAAGCGTCACTTCGCTGACACATGAAGCAGAAGAACAGGGAGATCCGTGGCTTTAGAGTCCAGTCTACGTTCCACGGGCCTCTTGCAAGCTGCTCCCTGGGGTCCCCTCTGAATTGCCACCTGCCACCCACCTTGACGAGGCTCCTTGTCTGGAGCTACCCCCGCCCCCCCCTCCCGGGACCTCCCTGCCCCGCTGATGAGCTGATCTTGGAACTCCCGGAGCCGGGGTGGGAGCTGGCACGCAGAGTGGAGTGCCCAGCACACCTCGGTCCCTTTCTCCTCTGACTGCCCTACCCTAGAGCAGAGACCTATTAAACAAGAAATGCCTTTGAGCCTTGGCCGATGTGGCCCAGTGGTTGAGGGTCATCCATGCACAAAAATGTCACCGGTTCGATTCCCCTTCAGGGCACATGCCCCATTGCAGCTTGATTCCCAGTAGGGGGCGTGCAGGAGGCAGCCGATCAATGGTTCTCTCTCACAGCAATGTTTCTCTCTCTTTCTCTCCCTCTCCCTTCTTCTGTCTCTAAAGTCAATAAAAAAAAATATATTAAAGTGCCTTTGACAGAAGATTTGAAGACACTCCGCAGAGAAGATATACATGTGGCTAATAAACACGCAAAACTATGCTCAATATCATGATCATTAGGGAAATGCAAACCAAAACCACAATGAGCTACCTACCACGTCATACTCAGCAGGGGAGCTACCATCAAAAACAAAACAAAACAACACAAAACAAAACAAAACAAAGCCGAGAGCTGAGCTGATGAGGACGTGGAGCCGCTGGGCCCCTGGGTGCTGCTGATGCGCATGGAGGCGCCTCAGAGAGTTAAAGGGAGAATGACCGCATGATCTGCCTTCCCCCCTGGGCACACCCCCCAAGAACTGGAAGCAGGGACTCCTAGAGATATTTGCACGTCTACACCTAACAGTGTTATTCACATCCGCTGGAACACGGGAAGCACCCCAGGTGTCCGGCCACAGGTGAGCGGGTCAGCAAATGTGTCTCGTACACACGGAATACGTATGCATTTTATTCCTTCTTCAAAAGGAAGGACATCCGACACACGCCACAACGTGGATGAACTTCGAGTGAAGCAAGCTGGTCACAAAAAGACAAATACTGTGCGATTCCGCTTGCACGAGGTCCCCAGCGCAGTCAGATGTGCAGAGACAGGACTAGGGCGGCAGGGGAGGGGGGAGGGAGTGTTTCTTGGGGCAGAGTCTCGGTTTGGGCAGAAGAGAATGTTCTGGAGGTGATGGTGTGACGGCTGCACAACATGGTGGACGTGCTCAATGCCACCAAACTGGACCCTGAAAAATGGTCAAGAAGGTCAGTGTTATGTTAGTATTTTTTATTTCAAGAAAAAAGGTGGGAAACCAAGTAGGCCTTTGCGACCTGCAGGCCGCCGTTATCTGGTCCTTGTAGACGCCTCTCCAGTGTATTAGCACCATTTGGGCAATGGAAGGTCACACTTCATCTGTCTCATTTGTGAAAGTCTCGTTCCCTGCCCCCAATCCTCCCCTCCCACCCAGGCAGAGGAGGGAAACGCCATCGCACATGTGATGGTTTCATTATGTAACACTTCACACATCGCCCCGAGGGAATGGGAAAGGCTCCGGAGGAAGATAAAAATAGATCCTGAGATTTAAGAAAACACAAAAACAACTGCTGTCTCCCTCTTCTCCACTGCTTCGAGTCCAGACGGCAAAGTGGGTAATTAAAAAAACGTCTGGCCTTAATTGCAGCAAACGGGAGTAAGAGCCAAGGGGGACCCACAGCCTGGCATCGGGTCGGTGGGCTGGGTCCTGCCACCCGGGTGTGGAACAGCCCCACGGCCTCCCCGCGCTGTCTAGGCTCCGTGTTCAGGCGCGTGAAGGTTGTTTAGTTTTTTATCTCCTTTATGCGCCAAAAAAAAGATGAAAAACTAGCTAGGCTCATACACTGTCTTTCGCCTTCCTTCTCCACGTGCAGACAGCCTTGGATGGCACACCCAGTCAGGTGACGGCTGATCGGGGAATCCGAGAGAGGGGCAGATGTGTGTGGGCGCACACAGGGAGGCGGGGGCTGGGTGTGTAAGAGAGAAAAAGGGACAAAGACGGACACACAGAGAGATGCGGGGACATTCTGCCGCTAGGCTGAGCCGCTGAGCCCGGATCCCGTGGCTACGGGGAAAGCAGGGCTCAGATGGCGTGCCCTGGTCCTCTCCAACGTTCCTGGTTCGGCGTCCACATGGCTTCCTCCCGTATTCCTTCATCACAGGCTTAACAGGGGCTGTCGACATGTTCAAATGATAGGCAGGGACCCAGTTTTGGAGACTGCAGGACAGGAAGACAGTGATCACCCTTGTGTGTGCGTGTGTGTGCGTGCCTGCATACGTGTGTGCGTGCGTGCATGTGTGCGTGTGTGCCTACTAAGTGCTCTGACTGTAATAGATAGAAGGGATCTGGGCATGAATCAAAGACAGTTTTGCCTCCAGGACAACAATCTAGTGAAGAGACAGGGACGTAAACAGGTCACTGTATTTCAGGAGTTGCCACTCCCAGGGGGATGGCCAGGTGGCTGCGAGTGGACGAAATGAACCGTGTGGAACGACCTGCAAATCAGAGCCCATGCCCCACCGAGAAGGGAACCAGGGCCGGGCTCTCCCTGATGGGGCCACGCAGGAAAGCAGCTGGGGCAGCCAGATCCTCTGGTTTTTAAAAAGTGGCCCAGGGTGGTTCTGTGTGTGCATGAAAGTTCCTACTGCCAACACTTTGACAGCTAATTCCGTTTAGAAAAAAAATCACTGTGCAGGCAGAATATACTACACACGAGGACTGAGTTCAGCTGGTGCTCCCGGAGTAACCGCTGATATCATAAAATAGGAAGGCTGCACCCCGAGGGATGACTCTGCCGAGGAGAAAGAAGTGGGATCAGCAATAGAAACAGCACGCCGAAGCCCAGGGAGGCGGAGGGCATCTGTGTTTGAGGGCGGGACAACGGCTTCCTGTGACTGTGTGACGACGGTGGGTTGGCTGGACCTAAGGCTGCAATGACACGTTGCAGCCCGATCATGGTGAGGCTTGAATTCCAGGGCAAACATGTAGTTTTCAGGGCAGTGGGGAGGTGCCCCAGATGTGTAATTAGAAGGAGTAATAGGGCCCGATTTTTATTTAAGAGCAGCCACGAGGGACCTCCTGAAGATGGGAGGGAGAGGGGAGACAGTGAGGGTCAAGTCGGGGCGGAGAAGAAGAAGAGAGCAATTCGGGAAGCAGACATGATGGGACTTTTCATTAGTAAGAATAGGTTGGGTATTGCTGCAGTGACAAGCAACCCTCCAAATCCCAGGAGCTTATAAAAAAACCTAAGATTTAGTTTTCACACTACAGTTTACCTCGGGGGAGTTTAGGGGAGTCTGTCCTGCATCATATTTCTTGTCGGGATGCGGGCTGACAGGGTGCCCACCACCTGGTGTAAACCGATCGCTGAGGCAGGGACTGGGACCTGGTGAAATGCACGGTGGCTTGTGAAAGCTGTCACCCAGGAGGGAAGCCACTTCCGATTACGTTTGTTTAGCCAGGACAGTGACATGCCGGTGACTGACTAAGGGGACAGGAGGTATAAGCCCATCTTGGGCCCTAAAGGAGGAAACCCGGCTCTACTGGTACACAGCACTGACGATGTGAGACCCAGAAGAGGAGGGAGGAGCCTCCCATTTCCGTGGGTGGAGGAACTGGTCCTGGGCTCCTGCCACGCACAGCCACGCACAGCCACGCGCTGTACAAAGCGCACGCAGCGGCCGTTTTCAGGCTCTGGACAGCGGGCAGCCCCTGGCCCTTGAGAAAAGAAAACCGTGCGAAGTCAGCCTGGTTGGTGTTCTGCCTGGGGTCCCCCTTTGGGGCACTGTCCATGGTAGTAGCAAGACAACCTCCCTGAACGGCGGGGATAGTGACCAGCTTTCAGCTACAGATGGGACTGGGGTTTGCAGGCCAGGGTACCGGAGGGAGGGGAGGGGATGAGGAGGGTCTGCTGGGCGTCTCCCTGGCCAAGGACAGACTGGACACACACACACAGGCCAGAGTCCACAGGCCGAGCAGAGAGGAGCTTGACTTCTGGTCCCGTCAGATGGAAAGACCTCATGAGCACCCCCATAAAGTGGAGACCCCCAGAAAGGACGAGTCTTAGAAGGAAATACCAGGTCCTAAGGAGGGGCCACATCCTAGGACCATGGACAAAGCCCCGGATTAGCATCAACCTTGGCAGAGCCAGAGCGACCTGCAAGTGCTGTAACCACAGGCCAGCTCAGTGATGGGCTTTGTGTTAGCAAGAATGGGCTAGGTTTTGCTGCAGTGACAAGCAACGCTCAATGAGCAACCCCACATTAAAAACAACAACAACAACAACAACTAACATCCAGAGTCCCTACAATGCATCAACCACCATGTCCAGAAAACAGTAAGAAGTCGGTAGGCATGCAAAGACAGGTTGGGGGCAGCTTCCACGGTCCCACTGGCCCTGTTTGTTCTTGCAGATGGTGTATTCACTCCAGCACCATCTGTGGATGGGCCGCCATTGGCCTGGCCCTCTGCCAGTTACGAGGATGAGCCCCACAGGACTCAGTAGGAGGAGCCTCCCTGGACGCTGCCTGTCCACAGAATGACATTCCCTCCAAAGGCTGAGAAAACGGACCACACTTTTCTCCATGGCCTAACGCACAAACACTCCTGTCCACTCAGGTCAGTCACTCAATATTCACTGAGAGCCCGGCAATACAAAGACACATAAAATATAACCCTTCTTTCAAAGAGCTTTCATCCCAGTTCACCTGCCCAGTCACCCCTATGAGCAGTTTAGACACTTGACTGAGTTCAGAAATTAATCATTGCGATACCCTTGCCTTCTCCCCTCCCTGTTCCGTGGGCTTTCAGAACACTCAGATGCTTCCATGCCAGAACGCGGAGAGACTGGGACCCTTGTGCACTGGTGACGGGAAAGTAGAATGGTGCAGGTGTTGGGGAAATAGTGTGGCGATTCCTCAAATAATTAAAAATGGAACCACCATATGATCCAGCAATTCCAGTTCTGGGTATATATATCTATATAATAAAAGCCTAAGCGACCGTTATGGCAGAGTGACCAGAACAACCGGTCACTATGATGTGCACTACCCACCAGAGGGCAGACGCTCAATGCAGGAGCTGCCCCCTGATGGTTAGTGCGCTCCCCCAGGGGGAGTACTGCTCAGCCAGAAGCCGGGCTCACAGCTGGTGAGTGCAGGGCAGTGGCGGGAGCCTCTCCGGCCTCCGCCTCCATGGCAGCACTAAGGAGAAGCGAGCTGAGCGGTAAGGAGCAGTGAGCAGGCGGGTGGTAAGGAGCGAGGGGACCCGGACTGCGAGAGGGTACAGGCCAGGCTGAGGGACACCCCTCCCCACCCCCCGAGTGCACGAATGTCATGTACAGGCCTCTAATATGTGTATAAAAGAATTAAGAACAGCCCCACCAGTGTGGCTCAGTGGTTGAGCATCGACCTATGCACCAGGAGGTTGCAGTTCGATTCCCAGTCAGGGCACATGCCCGGGTTGCAAGTTTGATCCTCAGTGGGTAGCATCTCTCATCATGGATTTTCTATCTCTCTCCCTCTCCCTTCCTTTCTGAAGTCAATAAAAATATATTTTTTAAAATGTGCCAAACTCAAACTTTCCTCCAAGCTAAAATGTGAAAGTAAAAGAGCATCATTAAGAAGGGACTCAGAGATGTTTGCACACCCAGGTTCATGGTAACATTCACATGAGTCAAAAGGTGGATGCAACCCAAGGGCCCATTGACAGATGGATGGATAAACAAGACGGTTTGCCCTACAGGGGATATTATTCAGCATTAAAAGCAAGAAACTCTGACACTTGCTGCAACATGGACGAACCCTGAGACATCAGGCTGAGTGAGGTAAGCCAGTCGCAAGCAACAAAGACCGTACGGTTCTACCTCCTTGGACTCCACTGACGAGTGGCCCAGGTCGCAGAGACAGAGGAGGGCGGGTGGTGCCGGCCTGGGCGGGGATGGAGAGCGGTTGATCAGTGAGCATAGAGTCCGTTACATTCCCACCAGCAGTGTACAGGGGCTCTGATTTCCCTGGGGATTGGGTGTATAGCAGTGTGAATGTACTTACTGGCACTGAATGAATTTTACGTTATAGACATATTTTACCACAATTAAAGCAACAACAAAGCCTCCACCACACCGTGCTGCTGGGGCGCATGCTCGGACTTGGGGGTCTGTCTCAGCCTCCTTGTCCAGCTCTTTAGGTCGGCACTGAGCTCCCCGGCTCCTGGCCCTGTGCGCTCTGTTGCTGGCACCCAGTCTCCTGGGAACAGCCCACGAAACACACAACGGAAGGGCTCCCCATGAACGGAGGGGCAGACGGAACAGGACAATGAGAACACCCCCAGGATGTCATTCACCCCGTGGAGCAGGAGCGAGGGGGTGGGGAAGGGGAGGGGTGTGGAGGGCGGCTCTGCCGGGCTGGTCTCTCCCGTGGTGGGGAAGTCAGACAAGAGAGTGAGCACCTCAGTGGGAGGGACCTTTGTCGTGGCCACACTTACAGACGCCCTCCGCCCTCCGATGCGCCAGGCACCCCGTAGCACTCTGCCCACCAGGCTTCATTTAACTCTCAGAAAAAACAACAACAAGCCCTTTGCAGAAGAAAGTGCTGTCGCCACCGAGAGGAGCAGGACTCCAGGGTACAAGGACTTGCCCGGGGCACACACAAGCCCAGGTCCCTGGCCTGTCACCACCGCTAAAATCAAACGACTTTAAATGCTCCGGCTAGCTTCCTAATCACTGCGGTTGGTGTTGTTTTTTTTTGTTTTTAATAGGATTTTACTATGTTAACAAAACCTCTACTCTGCAATTAACTCTAATTACACAAGCAATTAAGTTGGGAGTCAGGTTATTTTGCAGTTTAAAGCTATTTATGCTGACTCTGGATTTTTCTCTATCAAATTAATTATTTCCTGGTTATAACTGTTATTCAGTGAACGGAGTTTCTGACTCCACCCCGCACAGTTGTTTTTTTTAAGCACCAGCCGGTCCCCCCTCCCCCATCACACACCTGAGCAATCACATCTGCTGGTGAGCGTCCCAGGCGGGGACACAGGCATCAGCCAGTCCTACTGAGCGAGGCGGAAGCGAAGCTTTTCTCCAGCGATTTGTTGCTCAGAGGAAGGAGGAAATCATGCCAACACATGGAGCTGCTGACTGTAGCTACAGTGTTAACACAGCACCCCGTGCTCTATCTGACGTGGCCCCCGTCACCAGGATGAAGTTGAGGTTCTCATGCAGGTCCTTTAAGGTCCTGGAACTGTTGTCCGTGGTGGAGAATATTGGGGGGGTGGCGGTCTGTACACCCACACGTGTCCACACAGGCTGCTTCAAGTTGTTTCCGGCTGGAGCCATAGCAACGCCGGTGACTGTCAACAACGGCTTTGCCATGAGCGTTGACTCATGCCAACCGGACGCCCTGATCGCGTGCGGATGAGCCCATGGAACTGGGCGCTGCTCAGAG